GAGGAAGTCCAAGGAAAACATGGTTTCTCTATGGTTTCCTGGGTCAAATGCAGCAGCGTTCTGGTTGGCTACCTTTAGACCATGTGACCCTTGGGTCAGCAAGTTCTATTTAAGCCCCTGCCCTGAGTTGATGTGCATTTTGCAAGTGGCTAGTGTATGGAGAGAGACCCTGCTTGTCAGGGACAGCAACTAGTGGTAGAGAGAGGTTCTTGACAAGAAGGAAAAGCCTAGGGACTAACTAACCAGTCAGAAGTCTCCTCTCTTGTGACCGGACTAGCCAGGCCACACTTCACCCTCTAAAATGATGCTGTCAGCACTCTCTTCAACCACATCCGTAAGTACATTGAATTGTGAGTTATTTCCCTAAGCTGTGCTCTCCCAGTATGGTTTTTGCAATGTTGGCATTCTGCTTGATACAAGCTTCAAGTTTTGCTACAACCAGACATGCATTCAAACATGCTTGGGAAATGCATAGATCTGTGCTCTGACACACAAAAAAAAAATATTAAGTGGGAGAGACTTGATGAATTACTTGGTCTTTTTTTCTGCCGTTGCTCACTCTTCTATAGAATATTTTCAAGTATCTAGGGACGATACGTAAAGTTGTCTACAGAAAACAATGATCTCAGAAATGAGGGTTTTGTGCTCAAGTGCTTCCAATATTTACAATCTCTCATTGGCTCCATCCTCTAAGTCTCATGTCACTGCTGTTTCTGTAATAAGTGAAGGCCAAAAGAGGTAACCAATGAAAGCTGTGGGGGACCCAGGAGATCAACATTCTCAGAAGTGTTAATTTCATTGTGGACTTCAGAAGAAGAGATGGTGTTCATCAGCATGACCAGTAGCAAGGGTGAACGTTTATTGACTTATTTTATAGGCATGCCTTCTCCTAAGTTATGCCATAGCAACAGGATAGGCTACCACAGCAACAGGGTAACTTAAAAAATAAAATTTAACTGAAATACTGTATATATACATATTTTTTTGTCTCAGCAGCCTTCATCTTGAGCCCTCATTGATGAGCCTGAGACTGTGTGGCTGTCCCTGGAGATACAAGCTAAGACAGAGGCCTCATTCACACCATACGTACAGAAAACCTGATGGAAACTGACGTGCAGATTTCACTTGCCGAGACATCAGTTTACATCAGTTTTCATGCACGTTGCAGAGCTTTATACACGTTGCAGATTCCTGAGCAGAAAATATTCACACATGATACTGGTATGAACAGGGCACATAGAGAACAATTGTTTTTTGTGCCCTCTCAGAACGCTTGCAGAAAAACTGATGTCTCTGCACCATGGTGTGAAAGAGGCAGATTTAGGGTTCCCAACAGCTAACAACACAGCTGTGACTGAGAATTTCTTTTTGAAAATGCTTTCAAAATGCTCTGCACTACTAAAATGCAGAGCATTTTGAAAGGGGTCCTGTGCTATCTCTGTAGTGAGGGGAGAGTGCTGCTATATGCCATCGAAGGCTCCTCTTTAGTGCAGAGCATGTTTAGACTGGGTCTGCTTGCAGGTAAGTGCTGTATAATCCCAATGTTCCACATTGGATGTGGACATACCAAATAGCTTACAATGGTTTTTCATAAATAACTATTGTTTGAATTGTAATAATTATGAAGTTCTAAAATAAAAGTGTGTGCTGTGTCCATAGATTTCCATTTATTATTAATAGGAAGAGAACATCAGATTCATTTTGAGGGATTTTTAATGATGGAGAGATTTTTTTTAACTCTTTCAACCCTTGCTCTCCTGTACATCCCATCTCCAGCCTGTCTCTATATGATCTGTATATTAAATCCTTCACTTTCCTTATCCTACACATTAACCCCCTCATCTCCATGCTCCCATTATATGTGACATTTACATCAACCCCCTGAACCTCATCCTCCCCTCCCTTTTGTGTGTGATCTGTACATTTAATAATGGGCTTTATCTAGCGCACCATTACAAGCTCCATATTTTAACCACCTCAATATCAGTGTGCTTTTTTCTTTCCAAAAATAAAACGTAATAAGGGATCCCCTTGGGGTGTCTACTTTCCAAAAAAGGGTCATTTGGGAGTTTTTGTACTATCCTGGCAGTTTTATTTTGTATGTTTTATAACAGAAAGTAAGTGAAACATACTTTTTTCAACATTTTGGTCCTTTTTCTTTATATAGTAAACAATACATAACAGTAGTTAATAAATATCACCAAAACAAATTATCTAAAATTAATTTGGGCACAGTGATGCATGACAAACAATTATCAGTCAAACTATCACAACAGTGAAAACCTAAAAAATGGCTTGGTAATGAAGGGGTATTATAGGCTGATATTGATAGTGGTGAAATAGACCTATGTATTTTTCCAGTGCCACATATGCAAGGTAATGTGTAAATGCAACACTTTCATGTATTACTGCTAAAGCTTCCTATATACTGTACTAGTAGAACTGTGTTCAAATGTTTTTGTTTTATGAACATTCATTCAATTTCAAATCATTAGTGGAATAAAAATGAAATTCAGTTTTTACCACAGTGATGACAGAAGTAAGAATGACATTTTTTTCTAACAAATTTCAAATGAATTTCTAACAGTGTATAAGTTTCATTTGGAAAACTACATTTGTTTAAAAATTAACTAATAAGTAAAAAATAATGTTCTTTAGTGAGAAACATACATTCTACATTAATAATTATGCTACCAAAATGAGTGTGTGCTATAAATTGTTTCTAGCATTTGTTCCTGTTTCTTCTAGCTGGAGATGATATTTTGCTAAAGCCAAGAGCCCTGAGCAGCATTAAATCTTTAGGCTGTCCGCAGATTGGTTTTTCCAAATTTGGCACATTGCGTAAAAAACAGAAAGCAACTGAGCACATGCAAAGCAGGGTGAGGCATTGTATTACTGTATTTTAAACAGTATATGCACTTGTTTTACATAGCTATACCTGCAAAATGGGCCAGCCTGAAATTATCTAGCAGGACTTAATTTTCTGACTAAAGTTCCACTTTAAAGTGTATCTATGATCAAAATGTAAAATTATATACAGTATTTATCTTCACATTGTATTTCAATTATTTCTAACCTATTCCTATTGCTATGAGTGATCTTGAGGTTTGCAAATTTCCCCACACTTTTACTTGCTTGAATTCTATGACATATATTCATTATGCCCTATAAGTAGGCATTGCTGTGTCACACATTTCACAGAACCTACTTCTAAACTACGGGTACTGAGAGGAGTTTCAGGAGGTGGAATCAGTACAGGAGTCCAAGATTGAAGACATCAAGTTACCATGGGCTATATAGTCTTTAGAACTGGAAAGTAAACAGCAGATGAGAAACTGCAAAGCATGCAGGGAATTCAGAAAGTCATGGAAAGCAGACAGGCAGCACTCAAAACCTAAATGGAGATTTTTCAATAAGCTTACAATGGTTTGTAAAAAAAAAATATTGTTCATATTGTTGTAACATTGCTGAAGTTCTAAAATGAAGGTGAGTGTTATGACCATAGATTTCCATTAATTATTAATAAGTAAAGGACCCTGAAAAACTTGTGTATACACATGTGAATTTATACATTTTTTGAAATGTATCAGTTCAGACCATCATTAGCATTTTAACAAAGACCACTGAGTGCACGTTTACATCAAATGTATATAAATTGAATATTTTTAGTTTATCTTATTAAAATTATAAACTTGAATGAAAAGGTAGCTGTTGCTAAGTAATGGATTGGCTTCCTGCCATGTAGTAGATTACAGTCAAAAAACCATTGGGAAAAGAAACTTAAGGAAATCTGTGTTTCTAAAATGCTACAGAATAATAGCAGTCTACTAGTCTCTGATGTTGCGTTCAGGAGTGATTTTTTTAAGGGCAGATTAATATTTTAACATAGTAACGTTTTTTTTCCCGGGTTTTCTTTGCATCTGTAGTCATATTGAAAGTTGGATAACACATAGCACAATGTTTTACACAATCTAGAAAACTTTTTCACACATTTTATAGCATTATGCTGATACATTTTTGAAGTTTTTAATACATCAAAGCATGTTTTGAACTGCACAGTTGGCATATAGCAAGAGCATGTGCAGGTGTACATAAGACTTTGGGGAAGTTTGGGAGATAGTTAAAGGATAATGGTACAAAATGTCAGCTATCTTTCATTCTTTTCTACAATTCTACAATGTCCTAACCTAACTCATACTTTCCAGCTGTCTCAGGATTCTACATCAATGTCCCCAGATTTGAACTAAACCAAAAGGTCCTCTGGACCTAAACCATATCCTGTTGATGGGTGCTGGATTGCCCATTTCAACATGTCTGTAAAAGGCCAGACCTTTTGCCAGTAATGCACCCATTAAGTAGAGTGAGGAATTCTTCTACCCTAGCTTTCTGCTTCTGATCATGTGACAAACACAACACATGATAAGTGCTACACCTCATACCAATCCACTGTGGCATGAGTCTGTGTGTATGGTTGAAGTTGTGTTCAAGTGCCCCCATCTCCTGTGATATGCCCTGGTTGCCAGCTTGTGAACAATGCTTCACAGATTGTGATTAGTCATTATTGTCAATCAGATGTTGAGGTCAATTTACAATCAAGGTGTACATGCACAAAGATGTGCTCTGCTGTCTGCTCCTTCTCTGTGGTATGTTACAGCAGAAACAGTTGACATTTTCTAAAAAGGGTATGCTGAAAAGGAAGACTGAATGTTGTGTGTTGTTTGGGTCTGGGCTGCACTGGCCTTGCTGCAATAGCACCCCTTACTTTTCTGGGAATAACAGAGAGGGGGGAGATGGGTGAGAATTTTTAAAATAGAGTGAAAAATGTATAATCTGCCTGATTTTAAAGATATTACCAAGATTTTAAAGCTATTGCCCGATTAAGCACTCCAGTGAGTGATCTTTGCATAGTTTAAATTTTTATAGCCTTCAGATCTTGAAGGCATAAAGTCCTGTATTTTTCACTCCATAAGATGCACCTGACCATAAGACGCACCTAGAGTTTAGAGGAGGAAAACAAGAAATATTCTGAACCAATGAACTGTAGACATAGTACAGGAGATGACCAGAGACTGCAGATGTAGTACAGGAGATGACCAGAGATTGCGGACATACTACAGACGACCAGAGACTGCAGACATAGTACAGGAGATGATCAGAGACTGCAGACATAGTACAGGAGATGACCAGAGACTGTGGACACAGTACAGGAGATGATCAGAGACTGCGGACACATACAGTACTACAGAGATGACACAGTACAGGAGATGACTGTGGACGTACTACAGGAGATGATCAGACACTGCGGACATACAGTACTACAGGAGATGACCAGAGAGACATGTGGACATACTACACAGGAGATGACCAGAGACTGCAGACACAGACTGTGGACATACTACAGGAGATGACCAGAGACTGCGGACGCAGACTGTGGACACAGTATAGGGATGACCAGAGACTGTGGACATACTACAGGAGATGACCAGAGACTGCGGACATACTACAGGAGATGACCAGAGACTGCAGCGGACAAAGTGCAGGAGATGACCAGAGACTGTGGACACAGTACAGGAGATGACCAGAGACTGGAGACCTTTGGGAAGCGGGAGGGGGCAGGTACCCGAATTTGACAGGTACCCGCTCCCACTTCCACTGAGTTGTCCTCCCCCCTCCCTCCCCATAGTCTTGTGGGACATGTGACAGGTCCCAGAAGACTACGGGGCCATTCACAAAGCACAGTCGCAAGCTGTCACAGCCAGGTGCCTACATTAAAGATGCCGGCACCAGGGAGAGAAGACGGTCAGTGAAAGCAGAACATCACTGGACCATGGAACAGGTAGGACCAAGGAGCTGGTTCTTCTGCACAGTAGAGCTAGAGCGGCCGGCCCGGTATTCTAACATGGCGGCGGTGGGAATACCAGGCTGGCCGCTCCATATTCGCTCCATAAGATGCACAGACATTTTCCCCCCATTTTTTGGGGGGAAGAAAGTGCATTTTATGGACCAAAAAATATGGCAATGGCTCATCATCAGGGCTTAGAGAATATGGATAAAATCACACTGTGCTGCTTAGGTTTCCTGTAAGTTTGCAATGAGACTCAAAGGTTAATTCCATTTTCTGGTAGATGCTCTTCTCTCTCCCTCCACATCACAAAATATTTCCATCATGCAAACTTTTTGGCTTCTGGTCGGTCACATGATGTTCTTGGGTCTTCTTCTCCTCTTTGCAGTGAGGTGGCTTTCCGTACTGCAGAGTGAGGCACCTAAATTAAACTGATGTCAGCACACTTTATGCAGTATTATACAGTAAGAACATGCGGATGTTGAGCTGTACTGCTAGAAGGTAATGTTTATGACAGCCTGCATACCTCCCGACCATCGCAGATTCCCAGGACTGTTCCCAATTTGAACCACCATGTCCCAGGTCCAGGTGCTGGAATGCTTATTCCAGCATTTAGTACCTGCAAATGCCCTGCCATGGTTTTCCACATGTCCCCTGCCCTCATTTCTCTAACATAACTTTTTCTCTACTGTACAGTACCAGCGTTGTGTACATTGCACATATGTCACACAACAAGAAATAAAAAAAAACCATTTTGAATAAAACCATGTAAATAATTTTGGAACACAGATTTCCTGCATCCATGCACAGACAAAGTGATAGTTTTGTGTACAGTGTATACTATATATAGATTTTGACTCAATTTAACCATGCTACTTTAAGCCACACCCGATATTCAGCTCCATTTATTCATGTTCATTTTGGACAGGTCATACAGAGCATGCCACATAGCTTCTCCCTCCCACAGTATCCCTGTTTCTCAATTTTCAAAGTTTATATTAGACAGAAATGTTCTTGTAGAATATATTAGAATAGAACGTTTTTTAACGTTTTAAAGTATTACTATTAACGTTATTGAGGGAAAGGGTCCAAACCCTCTCTTATGCATGTCGGGTTATTTTTAAGCCAACAACCATGGAATGAAACTTTACACAACATAAAACTCTTACAGTACAGACCCATAGCAAGCTACACGTGGTAAAATGTAATATTAATACACAGCATCTGATTCAAAATAAATAAACATGCCTGACAAGACAGTTCAGTTAAAGCAGAATTAAACTTCCACATTTTTTTTGTAATGGGCCCAGGAGCTTTATGCCATAATGTGCTAGTATGCACAGCATATTAGCACATTATGGCAGATTTACCTGCCTAGCACATTATGCAGAGCATATTAGCACATCGTGGCAGACTTACCTGACCAGTGATTTCCTCCAGCACTGCGCTGTCAGCACTTCTGTCAGTCATGGGCACTACCATCTTTTCCCAGTCTTCCTTCCGGGTTCCGGGTTGGTTCGCTGGGCCACAATGATGTCACTCATGCCCATGTGCATGGTAATCACATCGTCCTGCAAAGAGCTGCACATGCATAGCTCAGTGTACACAAATGTTGACAGGCAGGAAGAATGGTTTAAGTGGGAAGAGACCAAATGAGTTTCTTCTGTCATAAAAATCCAACCTGACCATTTTTTTTTTAATCCTGCTTTAAGAAGCTCACAGCATAGTTACAGCAGATGATATCATTACTGTACAAGTGTTTTTAATTTCCATTTATCTTTACTGAAGAGAAAAAAAGGTACATGTGAAGTTGTCTGTACAAGTGTTTTTGCATTATTAATTTACTGTTAGCGGTCCCATTCAAATGCAACTTTTTTAAATTAATTCATTAATTAGTTAATTGATTTTAATGGATTCACTTTCTGACATTATTCTACAAATGTGGAAGCTAAGGTACACACTCTTATCAGATATTCATTTTTCACTAGTTTCCTATTAATTTTGCAAACACAAAGGGATATGGTTGGTTAGAAATCTTCCCAACTATCTATTGGCTATAGAGTTAGTAATATCAACAGTTTTAATTGATTAAGGCAGTATTACTTATCGTACAAGTTCAAAAAAAAAGTAATGGCAAAATTCTAACTAATAAAAAAAACTCTTTAGCGTTAAAATATAATTTATAGCTGCCCTGCTGTATTTATTGCTTTGTACTGCTTCTGTCAAAAAGCCACAAGAGTTAAAGGAAAAAGTTTAATACACTTTAGCTATTCATAATGGACAGGCTTCTCTACTATAACATTCTTTGTGTGTGTGTCACAAGTTTTCCACTAGGTGTCCTTCTTGATCTGCATAGGGTCTTATACAGTGAGCTCTAACATGCCTTTGGATACAAGGGCTCATTCATCATGTTGAGTTCTACTGGTCTTTTCACAGACAATGAAGGGAAACCAGCCTTTTCAGGAGAGCCACTTTGTTGTTTACACAAAAGAGTTTGGCTGTTAACACATGTAAGGTAATGGGATCCCCTACAGGCTCCTAACAGGGCCTAACACATGAATTTGGCTGATGGATTACCCACACCATTCATTAAATTATGTTGCAGGCAATAGGCAACCTGTTTAATCTGCCTATATGAAGGGCCTGGCATGTAGCTGTTGACACTTGTGCACTCTTTTGCTTACTGATTCTGTAAGTACATCAAATCAAAATCGCTTTAAGGCTATGAATCCTGAAATGATATACCTTTAATTGATCGGTTTTTCTCTCAAGTGGCTAATGAACACCAAACAACTCTACTGAAGAGCCTTTAAATGATTTACTATAGAACACTGTCATGTGTAAACTTCCTCCATATACCTATCAGTGACCCGTAATAAAAGTGAGGTTTTAGGTAGGAAGAAAGAGAGATATTGATGCATCAAACTTTGAAATATAATTTTAATTTCCTGATTAACACACACTTCTATAGAAAACATATGAATAGTGGAAGCTACAAATATTTGCAACAGATAATATAAGAAGAAATGAAGAGTAATTGTTTTATACTATATTTTTCTGTCTGCTGAGATAATTCGGAACTAAAAATGTGTTGTTGTGGACGCCCTACAAGTAGAATATGTGCTTAAAACAAGAAAAAACATGCACAATTATTTGACTGAATATATTTTTAAGGTGGTACTTGTTATCTTATAATATCTTTATTTAACTTTAATTTTGTTAAAGTAATCTTTTTATAAGTACATTTTTATAATTGACATTGTTATAATTGATGGCCTGACCCACGGTGGCCAGATCATTAGAAAAACAAACTTTTCCTAATTGAATTCCAGTCCATGTTGAAAAAAATGAAAATGGTTGTAAAATAAAAAGTAAAATTAAATGTAAGAGATTATCATAGAATTTAATCCATTCTATTTGATGTGTATAGATCACATAGGGGAATTGTATAAGACCACACAAATTGATAGTATTGGTAAATACATAAATGACTTTATTTCCATGGCATTCTGACATTGGGAGGGTCTGTAGAAAAACTCTTCAAATGCTCCTCCCAGCTGCCAATCCCACTGAACAACCTACTCTAACCCTATTAATATCAGCAATTTGAATAGCACTGATGTGCTGGAAAGCTATTGGCACTGACACTGTAAAAACACGGTGTCCACATGAAACAAATAGATTTAAATTGCACACCTAAAATATTTAACATTTTTCACAATAGTCTTAATAAATATCCTTTGAATTTACCCATTATTTTTTAAACATTTTTTAACATACACTATATTGCCATAGGTATTGGGACGCCTGCCTTTACACGCACATGAACGTTAATGACATCCCAGTCTTAGTCCGTAGGGTTCAATATTGAGTTGGTCCACCCTTTGCAGCTATAACAGCTTCAACACTTCTGGGAAGGCTGTCCCCAAGGTTTAGGAGTGTGTCTATGGGAATGTTTGACCATTCTTCCAGAAGCGCACTGATGTCGAACTAGAAGGCTTGGCTCGCAGTCTCCATTCTAATTCATCTTTAAAGTGTTCTATTGGGTTGAGGTCAGGACTCTGTGTAGGCCAGTCAAGTTTATCCACCCCAAACTCGCTCATCCATGTCTTTATGGACCTTGCTTTGTGCACCAGTGCACAGTCATGTTGGAACAGGAAGGGTCATCCCCAAATTGTTCCAACAAAGTTATGAGCATGAAATTGTCCAAAATGTCTTGGTATGCTGATGACTTCACTAGAACTAAGAAACCAAGCAGAACCCATGAAAAACAACCCCACACCATAATCCCCATTCTACCGAACTTTACACTTGGCCCAATGCAGTCAGGCAAGTTTGGTTCTCCTGGCAACCGCCAAACCTAGACACATCCATTGAATTGCCGGACAGAGAAGCATGATTCATCACTCCAAAGAACACATCTCCACTGCTCTAGAATCCAGTAGCGGAGTGCTTTAGACCACTGCATCCGATGCTTTGCATTGCACTTGGTGATGTAAGGCTTGGATGCAGCTGCTCGGCCACGAAAATCCATACCATGAAGCTCTCTATGCACTGTTGTTGAGCTAATCTGAAGGCCACATGAAGTTTGGAAATCTTTAACTATCAACTCTGCAGACAGTTGGCAACTTTTGCGCACTGTGCTTCAACATACGCTGACCCCATTTTGTCATTTTACGTGGCCTACCACTTCATGACTGAGTTACTGTTGTTCCCAGTTGCTTCCACTTTATTATAATAGCACTAACAGT